CTACTTAAACATTCCAAGTAATTCATCGAAAGTGCATTTTCTATGATTATTAGTATTTACTAGGACTCCATAGGGGTAGGCAAAATTATCCGTTGAAAACATGTGATGTCCGATCCGATCCATATTATTTGATTGGATCAAAAGAGAGTATTTGACCTAGTAAAAAAAGAGTCGAATATCATCTCATATGCGAGGCGGGTTAGAGTTACAGGATTAAGAACTCATAAGATACCTGAACTGTGCCACATATAAATATCACATACTACAAAATAATATTTTTAGAGTTAACTATATAATTTCATTGAGCAAATTACTGTCCAAATATGGACTATTTGTTTACAAGATTCAGAGGTTATCATCTTATGTTTTTTCAGGAAAGAGTTTGATTGATGTAGAATATACATGAAAAAAAAGACTACTAATTATTTCAATTTTCATCGATTCCGAATTCTTTAAATGTTTACCCTTTTTGTATTCTCTTTGCATGTTTTTTTTTTGGTATGGGGCTTCTTTTTGGATAAAATCTGTGTCGAATCTTAGATGATGTAAAATACAAAATTAGATTAGTATAAATTAGTTTTTATTAAAAAAATAAAATAATGAGCGAGATGGAATGAGTATCCGTTAATCCGATCATCTTTTAATCTTTTAATGGGTACCCGATGATATGCACAGTTGTTAAGTGTCACAAAATAACTGATCAACAAAGTGCGGTTTGAGTCAGTTAAGTGCTGTATAGGACAGGTACACAATTCGTGCCTATCCCTAGGACTCAAGCACTTAGCAGTTAGCAGACATCGTTCATTGCGATAGCCATCATGAAATGGGCTTTATAATTATGGTTATTAGTAAGTTTGGTACGGTATGTCCTCCAAAGTGGGCGTTATAATTATAAGTTTGGTATCTCCTCCAAAGTGGGCTACATATAAACATAGGATTGAAAGAAACCGCCTCCTAAATCTATTCCCCAGGACCTATAGAAGTCCAACACGTGCACTTAGTTGAGAATTGGATCAACTGTGGGTGAACACTAAAGATGTAATCGAATCAAATCGAACTCGAGTATTGTCATACTCGAGCTCGACTCGACTTGTAAGAAAGATATTCGAACTCGATCTCGAGCGAGCAGCATTACTGGAATTCGAGCTTGAGCTCGATACATTGCTTATAGAACTCGAACTCAACTCGCATGGGCTCGAGTCAATGTTAGTCTTATAGAGCTCGAGTTATAAAGATTTGGAAATTTCATTTTTCTTGACAAATTTTAAGCTAAAAGACATTATTGTCCTTCAAAAAAATTTCATACAACCTAAAGCATTTCATAAATTCAACCATTCTGATGGGCACAAGGGTAATTTCATAATAATATATTAAAAAATTAAAATTTAAAAACTCAATAAGGCTTGACGAGCCTTCGAGTCTTGCTACTGGATACTCGAACTCGACTCGTTTGGCTCTATCGAGCTCCTCGAACTCGATCAACGTGAATTCGAGTCGAGTTTTTGATCAATTGCTCGCAAGCAGTTCGGTTCGATTATAACCCTAGTGAACACCACCCTTTCTTTTTTTTTTTTTTTTCTTTTTTTTTCTTTTCTTTTTAATTATTTTTTTTAAATCTTTGTGTGTATTTGCTCAATAAAAAAGGATAGAGAGAATAAAAAACACCAAACAATAAATAAATAAATAAATAAAGGTTTCGTCATCTCTAGCTCTGTAGCTTCCTCTTCCATTTTATCATTTTGTGCCAATTGCCAACTACCTTCTAGCCCTTTAGTCTGCCTCTTACGTTTTTTTGCCTTGGTTAAGAAAAAGGCTCTCCACTCATGACAGCGAAAAAGGAAATACAGGGGAAAAAAAAAGAATTTACTCTGTAGTCTTAATTCCCAAAAAAGAATGAAAAATTTCTTAAAAAACAGTGAATGAATATTTTTAAATGAAATTGGTATCCACGAATACAGTAAAAGAAGACTCAAATATTAGATTAGTATGGCTCTCTCCTTTTTTTTTTTTTTCTCACCCAGGTGTTTTAATTTTCGTAGGACCATGATATTCCAGTTCTGCCCAATATTTGCAGCAATTCTAAGAAAAGATGCAATTGGGCATTTCGCAGCACAGCGCGCTTCGGAAATAGCTGCAGAGGTTGAAAGCGAGACGGCCGCAATGCAGCGTGCTCAATCTGTGAAGGTATATCTAGAATTGCATTTGAACTTAATGTGATATTTGCGCAGATAATTCTAACAAAGACGCATCAGGAATCCTGGAGTATTGCCTCAGCAGCACTAGCAAAGACTGCAGGAATTAACGCCATTTCTTGGTGCTGATTCATGAAACCTGCTCCTCCAGATCCACTCGTTCAACATTTCTTTTTCAGATCCTAAAGACCATACAAAAGATGTATCTTCTAGTCATGCTGTCTCAACTGCTAAGGAGATGGGTAAGTCTGGCCTTGCTACAATATGGATGCATGAACTTTTTCTTGAATAAACTCTCAAGTGGACGTTTTGACCCAATAGGAAAAAAAAAAGTATATCCTACTTTTGGTCACTTATGTTTCAATATTAACAAATCCGATTCCTTAATTATCTTTAATAAACAGGAGTTACAGAGGAAGAGCTGCAGACTAAGATCATATAATATTGAAATAAAAAGGATTAGAGGAGTCTATACACACACACATAAGATAAACAACTTATACTTTCATACTTTAGCCTTGAGACTTGTAAAATTATCCTCGATTGTCCATCCTACTTCAGGTACCAAATAAATACAAATTCGTCCTGTTCTATAATTCTTATTGGACATAATTGCAATTCCAATTCTGACAGAGAGTCTTAACAGAGATTAGAGTGATGGTTCTTTATTTTATATTTTTTATTTCCGAAGAAGGGAAAGGGGAGGGCCTTGTATCATTGAGCTTCTAATACACAAACCACGCATAGCATAGTATGGATTGATATTGCTTTTTTCCTTTTCAAAGATTAACGAATTATATAAAAGATAGAACACAAATAATGAAAACGAAAAGGGCAGGAAGTTTGATCATGGTCTTTATGGCCTTTAGCCTGCATTTAAAAAAAAAAAAAAAGCACATGTGTTGCACTTTATGATAAAGTTTAGCATAGACTTGTATTTATTCAGTTAATATGAATTGATAAAATTGACAGACTAATTTTTGAGAACCAAAACATGTTTTGATTTCTAGCAAAGAAAAAATAAAGTCTCATGAATAATGCCCAAGATGAGATCCTTTGATCGAAAATTTTCCTATATAATAAGTATAATACAGTTGTATAGAAGTGAAATACAACATTCAGCCTAGCCATTTTTATACATGCACATTGTTGTCCACACAAAATTTTAATTACCGGCGAATGTCATAGAATATGTCAGTCCAAGTAATGAGAAATCAAGCTAAAGTGCCATATCATATCATGTGGTAGTCGCAAAAGATGAATTAATGGCATCTGTGTTAAGAAAAAGTCAAACAAAAAACCAACAAAATCTAATTTTTTTTCCTTCTTGTTTGTTTGTTTGTGGGCACGTTGTTTGATTGAGATTGAAATGCATCACTCTGGGTTTAACAATAGAATTAATTGAACCTAGATTTACTTGTTGTCTTCTTATCCTTTGCTGACCTCTTCCTTATAGTAGCCATAGCTTCGAGTCAAATTTTAATAGACTCTAAATTCTCAACAAAACAAGAGAAACCAAAAACATCGAAGATAAAAAAGAAAACCACAAGTCTTTCAGTTCCATAATTCTTTAACAAAATGTAGGAAATAAAATAGAAAAAATGAACTATTAAAATTTTACCTAGAAGCTGTGGCTACAACCAGGAAGAGGTCGGCGTAAGGTAAGAAGGATTAGAAGATAACAGTTAAATCTAAGGCGAAACCTTTATTGTTGTATTCTGAAGTTGCACTATTCTCGAGAACAAGTGTTACATTTCAATCTCAATCAACAAAAACACAGAAAAAAAAAAAAGTACTCACAGACAAGAGAGAGGGAGACGGAGAGAGAGATTCTGTGTTGTGTTTGACTCTTTCTTAATATAATTCCCATCAATCAATTCATCTTTTGCGATTATCTGTTTTGTGTTCCTTTTTGTGATTCACTAAACCCGCATCAGCTTTATAACTAAAAACTGAAAAGACCTATTCATTCCTAGTTCCATTTTTTTTTTTCCTTTTTATACTATATCTATCTTTGGCTTTCCCTTTTTGGATGCAATGATAATAAATTCATGGACTAGTTATATCCATATATAACACCTTGACCCCTCTTTTTCTTTTAAAGACATTCTACAAAAACATATCATAACCGCTTACCTTTGAGAATACCCCATGAAATACAACTGAGCTCATGAACTGCCAGTTAAAAAGTTAAAATAAAAGCAGAAACTTAACAAGCAAACAAACCACTAGGAATATGGATTTACTATGTCTCAGGGCATCAAAAGTTTGGCAACGATGATGAGTAGAGTGCCATGGTGATCTCCAGAAATGGGGTCGAAAAGTTCATTGAGATGGCCAGCATGAATGCCGTGCCGTGGCCACCAAGAAAATGGCAGCATGGTGCATCACAAGAGATGCCAGCTGGTTAGGTGGTCGGATGTATATAGTCACAATCATGGAGAGAAAGGACAGCTCGAGAGCCATGCAAAACCAATGAAAAGCTATCGGAAGTGGTTTTGAAGTTTGGAGAGCTTGCAGATCAGCCCAAGCAGCAGTAAAACAAACTCCTGTCACCAACAATAATAGTTTCATGCTCATCATGTTACAATCAGCAGTGCTAGGGGCTCGATGTCGTCTCCCGCCCCCTGGTCTTGGGGTTGGCTCATCAGTGGAATGTGTTGCTTTAGTCTGGTCTACTCGGATGCTCAGAAATTCAGGCGGGGACCGGGACTGCTCTGGACTGTCTGGCCACCAGGTACAGGGTCTAAAGAAATGGATGTCTTCAGCACGATTGGATGTCTTCAGCACGATTGATGGCATGGATGAAGGGGAAGTCATTCCTCTGTTCCATGATCAGCAAAAGCAAGTTCGCATGCCAGAGCTAGATGATCACTTCCCCATCTCTGCAAAATGGAATTATGCTTAATGCGACAGAAAACTGCAATTCTGTCAACCTTGGGTTGATGAATGTGCGTAGGTTTACCAGAGAAGATAGACCGACATGCATTGATGATTAAACTTCTAGTGCAGAACAAGCCACAACATGTTTTGTCAAGTCCAAAAATAGCCTGCAAGTAAAATTAAAGATACCTTGCTTGGGAGTCCACCTGTTTCCTTCAATTTGTTGATGGCCAATGTTTCAAGAACTTTGACAGGAAGAAGCTCGCCTGTATGCCTGCATCAGCTCATGTCGTCTGACAACATATTTTACACTGCAAAAAATGCTTCGGAAAAGATGCCGAACAGGGGGAGGAGGAGAAGGAAAGTAAAAAGTCCAGAAAGCAAACAATAATGTCCTTTCACAGGAAATAAGAGTACCATATATAATCAACAGTTCCCATGAATTTGGAGTGGTATGATGTTGCCAAGGGTTCTCCGATGTTATTCCTGCTTCTAGTGCTTCCCTGCATAAATTCAGACAAAGAAGTATTACAAGAGAAGAATTTCTCGGACATCTCATGTAACACAATAAGGTGGCAATTTTCTAATAAAGTTACATCTTTAATAAAAAAAAAAAAAAAAAAAAAAAAAAAAAAAAGATGGCATGGATGAAGGAATTCATGGATTTTTTCCGGATGCTCATCACCATAGTTGTGAAGGACAAATCAAGGTACGTAAAAGTATTATTTTGGTAATAAGGTTGAGAAAGTGCAGAATTGAAAAGGGCCGACAGAATGAGAAATTGAGGATTTTCGGACAAGGTAGAGAAGGTATTATTTTGGTAATAATTAAGGTTGAGAGTGAGAGAGAAATTGAAGATGTTCTGAGAAGGTTGAGATTGTGGATGTAATTTGTTCCACATTGGTTGCAGAAAATCAGTCACAATCTGGTCGTGATATGTATATTTTCATTGCTAACATTTTTAAAAAATTCAAGAAAAATTATTAAAAAAAGAAAATATTGTAACGATTGCAATAATAAAATTAAAATTGCAAAATATCGAGATTAATAAAGCCAATCCCTAATTCTATAAAAGAAGTTAAAGATGTTATTAAAAAAAAAATGGCTGTTATAATCACTAGCATCAAAAGACCACAAATATGCATTCTTCTTAGCCTAATGAATCACCTGAGATTTATAGTAGTAGATGTTGCCTCAAAATCTCTTGGGCGTGAATTTGTTATTTTCTATGGATGGGCTTCTTTTGGGCTGGTTGTGCAGTAGACTAATGCATTCAATTGTCACACTCTTCCTCTTTCTCTCTCTCTTTTTTTTTTTTTTCAAGGCAGAAAATCAATCCTATTCGTTCTTTTGTTTAGACTTTTCTTCCTCTTGCTCTCCATTCTTTCTGCTTCTTCTCCTTCAAAATCCCTCTATAATGAACCCATGAAATAGCTTCTAAAATCTCCATTGATCTTCCAAAGATCACACCCTCAATTTACTTTCATCAAAAATCCTGAATGGTTGAAGTAAAATGATTTTAATGAAAGCAACTATCTACTCCTCTGATTTTGGTAAACCTTAGCCCTCAAATTTGCTTCTTTGTTGTTTTATATCGATTAGTTGTTGATTATTTTGGTTTCAACTGGTTGTTGAAGATTTTGTGGGAAAAAGTTGGAAATTTTCGAACTCTTGAGTTGACTTAGCGAGTTTCAATGATTTTCTATTTTTCAGAGTCAACTCAACTGGATCAATTTGAGTTCTCGGAGTCGTGGCACTTTACCAATGATTTGGGTTGAAATCACCCTTTCTCCTTTTAATTTTTTAAAATCCCATTCTTCCCCTACTAAGAAATAAAAAGAAAATCTAACTAAGACAAAAATTTTCCTTCTAAACTATTTCACTATCCATACATTTCATGCCTTTAGAAACTTTGTAATTAAATTTACTAGTAGTCCACCTAATTAAAAGACAAATATTTGTATCATGTTTGCATGCAAAATACGTGCAATTTTAATATATATTTAACTAAATTATATATTAATTTAGGACTAACTCCGTTTTGCACTTCTAAACTTATATCACTTTCTCACTTTACACCATGAACTTTAATTTTGGACACTTTACACCGTAAACTCTAAATTTTAGACACTTTATACCCTAAACTTTCAAATTTGTCCTATTTAAGTTCAATTCATGATTATGTTTGAAAAATTAGCGAGATAAAGGGTGATAAAAATTAATGACAATGTACAATTTTGTTCTAACTGGGATTCTTTAGCTTTTTTGACCATTTTTAGCACATTATCATTGATTTATATAGTCTCAATTATTAATATTATTAGCAAAATTAAACGAGATAAAAGATGGTGTAAATTAATGACAATGTATTTTTTTATTTTTGCTATGATATTTTGGTATCTTGTGATTACTTTTGGCATATTATTATTGATTTGTTGTGTTCTTTATATTGGTAATTTTGCAAAAGTTAACATTGATTGAATTTAAATAGAACAAACTTGAGAGTTTAAGGCACGAAGTGTTCGAAATTGAAGTTTAGGATGTAAAATGAAAAATTAATATAAATTTGGGGTGCAATGTGGAGTTTTTCCATTTATCTACTTACAACAACACAGCAAATATCTTACTTTATGATTTTTAGTTAGTAATATAATAATTAAAAAATAAACTATGGCTCTGTTTGGATAAATGGTTTTTTCAAAAACTAAGTTTTTCCAACAAAATCTTCCCCAATTACCATGGCTGCACCGTCCCACTACCACTCCTTCCCTCCTTCCACATTCCTTGTCTCCTCTACAACTGCACCCTCTCCTTCTTTTCCCTCATTTTTTCCCCATCATCAGCTTTTCTCCCTCGACCAGATCTAGTTACGACTAGATTTGGTCCAGATGGCAATAAGATATGATCATATCTTGATTAGTCATGATGAGGTTTGGTCGTGGGTAATTTATGAGAGTTTTTAACCTAATTTATTGAGTATTAATGGTTATTTGATAGCTAATAAGTAAGCTTTCAGATTAGGAATTCGATATCATTAAGATAGTTTCCATTCGGTCTACAATGTCCAATATTTTTCTGCACACCTAAAGCCAATGTGCTTCTTTCCAAATCACTTTGGAATAGCTAATTTCTCCAAATATTGATGAAAAGAAAAAAGAAAAATCATGTCTCTAACAGTGGACCTTTCTCTTTGGATACCCGCTGTGCTTACGAAGCACGATGTAAGCATGGCGGGCCAATTTTTTTTTTTTTTTTTCAATGAAATTTGACACCTTCATGTCCACTGCAATTTAATTTTTTAAAACAAAATCTGTTTGGACACGGAGGTCTGGACCCAAAGACACATTAAAGGTCCAGTGCTAACTACCAGTATGGTCTACTTATGTGGTAATAGTTGGTTGCCATGGAACTGAAATTGGTAATGCTTTAGCATTGAGGCAGGAGGCATTATGTAGTGCAGTGTAGTCTCTTGCTCCAATGCCTGCATATTTATCTTTTTATATGTTTCTCGTCGCGATTTACTGCTCTTCCAGTCTTCCTCAATGTTAGGCACGGAGACCCCTTTTGCTTTCAGTTTTCACTTTTCTCTCATCAATTGGTCTCACCTATTATTTTTGTCAAGTATGTTTCATGGTGTCTGATAAATATATTTAGATACTACATCCCTTGACAAGTATCCAAAATCAAATGCTTTGGGCGGTTGAGGCCAAAGTGCTATGCCCCCTTGCTCTTTTTCAAAATTTCAGTGTTTGTTTTTGCAATGAATCGCTCTGAAGTTGCAATTGGTTTTGCAGAATATGCTTGCACACTGCAAGTCGATGAGAAGAGCGATATGTATAGCTACGACGTGGTATTGATGAAAATCTTGACTGGAAAAAGATCGGTGGATGCAGAATTTGGTGATGGCAATAGTATTGTAGGTTGGGTGGGATCCAAGATTAAGAGTAAAAATGGTTTTCTTGATAAACAAGAATGCTGGTGCATCATGTGCCTCCGTGAGGGAGGAAATGATGATAGTGCTAAGAATTGCATTAATCTGCACCAGTCGAAATCCGGCTGGCCGTCCAACTGTAAGAGATGCAGTATCAATGCTGCAAGAGGCCAAGCCAACGAGGAAACTACCCCGAGCCGGAGGTGGTGTAACTGGAAGCGGCAGCGAAATGGGCACCGCTTTTTTGGGACAAAAGCCAGCGCCTATAATTGAGTGTTAATTGCATTGGGATTTTAGTTTTTTTTTTTTTAATTGGGGGAATTGGTATTGGAAAGTAAAAAGATTCTGAAGTATAAATTGTTTATAGGATTGCTCTTCTTTTCTGAAGTATAAACATTTCACAGGAAAATTCTGTTCTGATTTGATATGGCTAGTTGTTGCATCCGTTGTAAAGCAAACCACTTTTGATGCAAGCTTAAAACAAAGTCAGATGGTCTATGAGGCTTAAGATATTGATTGCGGCACCAATCTAATTGACTCTAGCAATTTTTTCTGTCAAATTTTTTAAAATAGACCAAATTATATTTATTATACGAAAGGAAAAAGGTATGAATGACAAAATTGCACAGTTGATCTTTGAATGCTAACCATTCTGTTGTGAATATAAGCACATGTACAGTGCAATTAAAAATGTTTTCCTATCTTGTTAATAACATGAGAAACGAAAATACATAATGAAAATGAAATTGCATGCATCAGAGTTTTGAGTTCGAAGACGGGAGTTCAATTACTCTAAAATTATTAATTTGGTTTGCACTATTTGTAAATTTAATATGATAAGATCGTTCGTTCACTATATAGAATTCACATGGTTATCCTTTAAATACATCCTCTAGTTTTTCTAAAAAGAAATCTTGTATTTATATTCAAGCGAAAGGAATTTCATAATTTCATCTTATAAATGTATCTTAAATTAGAAGCATATATCCTTTTGCTAATATATTTAAGAATACTAATCACCACTTTAAAAAATGAAAAATCATGTAAAGCAATTTTTCTTTTGCATATTACTATTATTTGATAGTATGATTTATGAAAATACTGGATCACGTGCAAAGCACATGGTATATTACCGTTTAAAAATTAAACACTCAAGTCAAATAACTAAATAAGCATGCTATGGCGTCAATAAGATTGAGACCTGCAACTAGACATAAGCATGTGACCATAGGCGAGAGGTCAAACCCAACACTATTGAGCCTAATCAATTCAACTCACAATGTCAAAGCTAAATTCGACTTACAATAAAATCCAACCCCAGATGATACTAGATCACGTTTGCCTCTCCACTGCTGTCAATATCTAGATCAGAATTCAGGATATCTATATAATCACCCATCATGTCCACGATATACAGGCGAACGGTTGGTATAGTGGCCTTACGTATTATCTGCATGATAACATCTAAACTCTGCATTGGCTAGTCAGGCTCGACAAACTGGTTGCTCATGGTACTTTCATCCATCAGATCTCTAGACGATCTCCAAGAAAGATCCTTGATATCACATGGGAGGGTCCTTAGATACTGCACATTATTGTTGG